CAATTTCCGATCTTGACGACATAACATCAAATAATCGATTTGCGATTTTAAGTCGATTACTCCAATCCGCTTTTTTTTTTTTATAAAGAAAGCATGAGGATACTTGATAGTGAGATAATTACATATAATTTTCGATTTTCGGCCCTTAATTCTTTAATCTGATCTGTTGTAGCGGCATTATTTTGAAGGGCTTTCAATTCCGATTCAATTCTATCAATTTTTTGAGTATAATCACGAACCTACGGATGTATGTATATAATATATAATATGTACAGTATATATGAGATATGTATATATAAAATCCAATATAAATTACACAACCTACCTTGTTTGTGGATTTTTGAAGTTCTTCAACAGAACTTAATAAAATATTAGATGCTACATGATATTCATCTAAAAGATAATAATATCCTGCCCCTCCTGCAATCGTTAAACCCACTAAAAATCCAATTAGACTATAAAAAGGAATGAAATAAATTTAAAGAAATAAGAAAACATTAAATTACGTAGATTAGATAAGGAAAAAAAAAAAACTTACCCTCCACGGAACCCGCCGATAGGTTTTCTTGTTGGCTGTACAGATTTACCTATTTCTGTTGAAATACCACTTTCTTCTTGGGCCGCTCTAACAATATTTGTACTAGTAAAACTTCTTTTAATTAATTTCCTCCGAAAATTCAATAATACTTTTGAACTTCCGTCTAATAAATAAATTTGTCGTATAAAAGCTTGCATTACTACAAAATAAGCTGATTTTTTTTTTAAAAAAAACAAATTTGAAAAAAAAAAAAAAAGATTATTGATGCAATTTTTAATTTATGTCACGTGACATTCGGCAATTCCGAATTTATTATGGAGGGAATAATTATATTTCTATAACGAATTTTAATTTTTTAAAAAAAAATACATTTAAATAACATTACAGTACCAAATATTCTATATAATAAATATCAAGAAAAAAAATACACAAGAGAAATTTATATAATGCAAAAAGCGGTAAACAATGATGGATCTTTTTTTTTACACTTGATTTGCGGCAGATGTAAAACCGCTATCGACACCCGATTCAAGAAATGAAGCATGACCCAAGACCATTGTTGCAGAAGCCCCAACGATCCAAAATATAGTTGAACCAGCGGATGAAATAAATAAAAGAGGAATAGAAACCGCAATAAGTCCAGTATATAATTGTTTTGGAGTTAAAACATACTGTTGAAAAACAAGTGGCTCCTCTAATTTACGAATGAAATTTAATCCTACAATGAGGAAAACGATGGTCAAAAGGAGGAGAGGGTTTGAGACCCTATAATTTATATAAAATAAATCAGATTTTAGAACTTTTCATCATTTTAATAGATATTAAAAAAAAATTGTGAAAATAATATTTACAGGCAATAGATCAATAAACCTAAAACGATTATAATGTAGTTTGATTGAAAGTATGTCAAGTTATAAGAAAGACGCTGCGCAATATCTAAAAAATTTTGTTTCTCATGTTAAATATAGTTTTTCTCTCGAAGGGGAGGCTAAAAAAAGATAACTTTGTAAATAAAATGTTTACAAACCTCCCATGCCTTTTGGTTTAGAAAGCTTATCTTTATCAAAAAACTCATTGAAAGGACGCATGTTGCCTAACCTTTCGGTTTTAAAACGATTTATAAAGTTTAACCTTTCCGAAGAAATAGGTAAAGAGTCGGGAAAACCTGCTGGTATATTTATGTTATTACTCATTTTTAAAATAAAGATTGATAAAATAAAGAAAAAAATATTTTGAAAAGAGAAAATCTGGAGACCATATTTATACTTTATTGATTTTGTGTAACATTTACCAAGTGGCTTGGTTCAATTCTTTGTATCATTGTATTTATTGTATGTTTTTCAAATGTTCATGCAAGGATTCCAAATGTACCACAAGCCATTATCAAATAATGACAATTGATACCTTGTATATCTTCATTCTTTCCGTATGTAATATATGTACTCTAACCTAACTGACATTTGATATTTTATTAAGTTTACAGGCAAAATGCATGCTCTCACAGTTCATCTTTTTTTTTTTTTACTCACATAATCTTTAATTAAATTATAAAACTTATAAATATTAATTTTATAAAAATATAATTTCAACTATTACTAGAAGCTGATTGTGATGATGATTGTTCATTGATATCTTGTGGTTTTTGACTCTCCTTCTTGGCCTCCGCCAATTCCATATCAATCCTTTCTTTTGCTCTTACTACTTTTGATTGTAAGTAAAATGATCCGCCGGACGTTGCATCATTTACTTTAAATAAATGCTCATAATTCTGGAACAAATAAAATTGAAAAATTATTAGAAAAAAAAAAAAAATCTTTCTTTTGCGATTATAAGTGTAAATACCTTTGAAAGATTTGAGACGTCCCTTTTAAGATTTAATATTTGATATGCTTCATCTAATGACATTCCTGTTCGTCTTGACAAGGAATCTTTTCCCATTCGTGACGTGGCACTACCTCCGGCCGCCGCGTCTAAACCAGTCAAATTATTTAACAAAGTTAACGGATCAAAAGATACACGTAATTTTTAAAGATCACTTACTTGCTACGGCTTGTTTATATGCTTCGACAAAAGCTTTACCTACGATCTGCGTTCCTACAACGATGATTTGTACTATTACTTTTGCCTGTTAAATAAAATCGGGTAAATATTTAAAGATCGAAAAAAACTTGATACAAAGTAATAAAGAATTGTATTACCATTTGACATAAAATTCATGAAAAACGATTTATTAAAAAAAAAGATTTTTTTTTTTTTTAAAAGAAAAAAAAATATATATATATTATATTATACAGGTTTATTTATTTATTGATAAACAATATATATACTGCATTATGCAATTATGTAATCTGTGATTATTTATTCGTGGTGCAAAGGTCACCCTTTAATTTATTTTTTTTTTTTTTCAACTTTTTTCATAAAAAAAATGGAGCAAACTTATGCTTTTTCCTGTCAACGCTGTAAACAACCCTTAAAAATTGATGAAACGCTAGCGGATCTGGATGCAGATTCCGTAGATATCTTGTTAGGTATAATATATAATATAGATCCATCCTTTATTCGTCAAATTGTATGTATAAATATTCATTTTTAAAATATTTTAGCAAGTCCGGAGGAGAGTATAACTTCAAGATATACAGACCACCGGCTCGGAAATACCGGAATCAAGACGAGTTCTAAACAAATTTCCTTTAATGATATTGAAGATAATAATGAACTGTCAGCGTCAAACTCAAGATCTGTTTCTTCCCCAAGGAATCCTTCTGGACTTTCGCGATCTCCTAATGGAAGCATTAGTAACAAAGAATCGTTCTTAGCACCCTCTGAATCATATGTAATGTTATCACGTTCACAAGTCGCACCACATCATAACGATCATTCGTTACCAGAGCGAAATTCACTTGATGGAAAAGCCGAAGAAAGAAAAAAAGCGGATTGGAGTAATCGACTTAAAATCGCAAATCGATTATTTGATGTTATGTCGTCAAGATCGGAAATTG